TTTATTTTGAAAAAGTGTATATACAGTATAGCCGGGTAATAAAGGAACCCAGCATATATCACTATTTTTATTTTGCTAATATGGATAATATCCCGCATGAGGATCAAATTTTGTTTCAATAGTTTTTAAATTAATAGAAGTTAAAATTGAATGAAGGTCAAGTACTTCCAAAGCTATATCTACTTCTCTCACAATCCATGATTTATTATCACGCTGAAAAGCAATTCGGGCCCAAGGTTTTTGCTAAACTAATTTTTGGTACCAACTAGACATAATTTCTATAATTCAAATTGATGAAAGATCGACAGATCAAAAAGATAGCCTAAACGGTGATATGTTCGCACCTTTACATAATTGTTTTGAGTGCCTAACTGGTATAGGAACCTGGTTAGATAGCCAATCTGGCATTTAATTTACTGCTTGTTTTAGAAATTATGACAAAATTCACGGGAATACCAAGATAAAAAGAAGCATCAAGATTCCCTTTGCACCTTATGAAACAATTTAGATTCACATCCTTCAGTAGAATCTTGTCATTTTCTAGTAATTACAAATTTTTTTTAGAATTATGACCAACCTACTTTATGCAGGTAGAAAACTGCTAGCTAATATTACGTATTGATCATATACAACTTGCTCTCGTTATAATGAAGTCATCAGGCTTAGAATAAAAATATTCACTATAGCTTATATTGAGAGGATACTATATACCACATAGGCACACAATAATGTGCCATGCGCATTATTTCGAGACTCTATATTATTTTGGAACGCGCATGCGCAATAATTTGAATAATTTTGAAGGAAACAGTTACAACTATTAAAAACTTCTATATGAATTTATTCTGGGTACATGTTATTTCGAGACACGCATGGGCGTTATTTTGAGTCAAATATGGAATTTTTAAAATAACGGCCATGTGCGTTATTACGCGCCTATATGGTATATACTGAGCTGAAGTTTAATAATAATAGTTCACTATACAAGAACGAGTTGTATTAGTAATATTGATATATGCCACGTATTTCAATAATGCAAATTCTAAAAAGTCAAATTGAATATATCTTATACGTGTAATATTTTCGAATACAAAAAAAATAAAAAATATATTAGAAAAATTGTGCGAAGTATAATTATCATATAGTGAAGATC